GACATTTGTAAATAAAGCTGATATGAGTATTTGTATGTAGAGGTTTTTGTGTGAACATTTCTCTGGGGTAAAGATTTTGGAGTGGAAATTATGGCACATTAGGTAAATATGTATTTAATTTTCTAAGCAACTGACCACTGTTTTCCAAAGTGTCTTTACAAGTTTGCATTCCCAGCAGTAATGTATGAGAGTATCAACTGTTCAATATCCTCACCAGCATTTGGTTAAAACAGATGTTTTGATTCTTTTTAATTTATGTATTCTAACAAATGTGTAGTGATAACTCTTTGTAGTCTTAATTTGAGACCATGTTCACATAACTTTTATTATAGTTAATATTGTTATATTTTTCATTTTAGTTCTTGTTAATCTCTTACTGTGCCTAATTTATAAATTAAACTTTATCAGAGGTATGCATATGTAGGAGAAAACATAAGTATGTTTTGTTACTCCATGCTTTTAGGCATCCACTGAGGATCTTGGAATGTATCCTCCACATTTGAAGGGAGACTACAGTAGATATAGGACTATCCAGGTTATGTACTTCTTTATGAGTTTTGATTGTTTATATCTAGTAAGGAATGGCCCTATTTTATCTGAGCTTTTGAATTTATGAGTATAGAATTGCTCGTTCTATTCCCTTATCATTTTAATACTTACAGGATCTGTAATGATGATGCCTCTCCCGACCCTTTCACTCCTGATATCAATAATTTATCTTAGCTTTTTCTTAGTCAGTCTAGAAGTTTATCAATTTTATTCATTTTTTTTTCAAGAACTGGTTTTTGGCTTCATTTTTTTTTTTTAGAAACTAGAACTTCATTATAAGTACTTATTATAAGTGGATTTTGTATACTCTTTGAAACTTTTAAAGCCATATGTAACCTAAGATTATTTTAATGTTTTTCATTATTCAATCTATAAAGGACAAAGAATATATAGGAAAAAATGTAAATTGAAAAAACTAATAAATATAAAAATACCCCACCCCAAACTAAAACAAACCCAATTAAGAAATAGATTCTACAAAGCCTATTAATCCTCCAATTTAAAATAAATGACTTCCCAAGGGAAAAATATTTCCATAATCATAGCAGTTTGATGAATGAAAGCAAAGCTGCTCTCATTAAGGAAAATTACATTATATGTAAGAAAAATGTAATGATGTTTCTAGAAAATGAAGAAAAGTAATTTCCATGTTGGATTTCTCAAGCATACTAAATAAGGATTTGAAGGAAAGAAAGGGAGAGAGAGAATGAGAGAAACATCAATTTGTTGTTTCACTTATTTGTGCATTCATTGGTTGCTTCTTGTATGTGCCCTGACCAGGGATTGAACCTGAAAGCTTGGCTTATTGGGACCACACTCCAACCAACTGAGCTATCCGGCCAAGGCCTAAATACTTTTTGTTCACTTGGCCTTTGTTAGAAGTGACAGTACCTATTTCCATGAGAAAAGTGCTATGAACATGAACATCATAAAACCAAGCTCCCCAATGATTTTTCAGTTTAACCTCAAGAGAATCAACTCAAGAGCTTCAAAGTCCAAGGACAGGCTGGTCCCAAAGCATTTCCTCTTCTGTCCTTTTCTGTGCCTTGTTCTTTTTTCTCTTTTCTGCGCTTACGATCCTCTTTCTTAGAGGCTACATCTTGTCTTTTTCTCTCCCTTTGATTCTTAAGCTTTTCTGTGCTGATCCTGACTGTTTCTACCTCTGTGTTGCTTTTCTGGATGCTCTTGTGTTTGTCTAAATCTGTTTCCTCACACCTTTTTTCCTCTTATGCTCGGGCTGCTGCTCCTCCGATTTTTCCCTGCCCCCTCCTGGGTGCCGTTTTCTCTTTGGGTGTGTCCGTTCATGGCCGGCTTTATGGGCACTGGTACTGGTCTCTGAGAGGTGCCTGTAAACTCTAGATTCGACACTGTATGAGCTATAATTATACTCTTGGTGACTAAGGTTCAGGGGTGCTGGTTTTCCTGAGAAATAGTCCCTGGTGAATTGACAGTATCTCATGCTGTCATGAGCTGGTAGTACGAGGTAACTGGTTTTCCATTGTTTGTGAAACACTGCATGACCTCGGGTGGGTCTGGATGGTTTCAGTTGGGAGTCTTTGATCAAATCTTCTGTACCTGGGTCTGAAATCAACCTCTTCTTTGTCCCTACAGGTTTGCAAATAGTCCTCTCTCATCTGTCTGAAACAAGTCTTTGGTTCTAAGCCTCTGGCTTTCTGCACTTTGATATAACCTTCAAGTTCATCTTGAAAGGAGTCAGATGTCTTCTCTGAATGTTTCTTTAGGTTGACAACAAGGGATTTTCCTTATCAGACTGAGAACTTGGTGGAAAAATCTGATCATATTCACCCATTAATTGCTTTCAGTTTTCTAGCATAAACTTTCCCCAAAGAGTGAGACTGTGCAACAACTGGGGAGCTTCTTGTGAGGCAGGGCGGGCATCTATGACTACTGTCCCCCTCTCTGCCAACGCCACTGGCCTGGAGATAAGCCGAGGTGGAGGTGGCGGAGAGGCAGGGACAACCGCTGCCGCCACCACCGCCTCTGCTGCTGAGCAGGCGGGGTAGAATGAGGAGGCCTAACTGATTCTATTTTTTTTCTATTACATTACTTTGCTCTTCTTATTTTTGGTTGGTAGGATGGGAAACGTAAGACTATTGATGTGCAATCTTTCATCTTTTACTAAAAGAAGCATTTTAATGCTATAAATTTCCCTCTACACACATTTTCAAAATTTTGTTGTGCTTTATCTTTTTTTTAAGTTACTTTCTAATTCTCATGGACTTCGTGAACTCATGGATTAATAAGAAGTAGGTTGTTTAATTTTCAAATATTTCTGGATTTTTCTCAATATATTTCTATTATTCTTTCCTAGTGTAATTGTTGTGTGCATGCGTGCGTGTTTGGTTAATCCTTACCTGAGATATTTTTTCTACTGATTTTTAGAGAGGGGAAAGGGAGGAAGCCAGAAAGTGAGGGGAGGGCGGAGAGTGACATCAATATGAGAGAGACACATTGACTGGCTGACACCTGCACTCACCCCAACCAGGGCATGAATCAAACCTCCAACCCAGGTTATGTTCCCTTGGATCAGGATTCAAACCCATGAACCTTCAGTGTAGAGACCAATGCTCTAACCACTGTGCCCACCAGCCAGACAGTTCATTTATGTTTTATTTTTTATTCTGTTTGCTTTAATTCTTTCAAATGTCTTAAAGCTTGTTTTATGGCTCTGGATCCTGATTTTTTTTCTTAATCAACTATAAAAGGCATTTGGAGACAAATGAGGAAAAATTTTAAATGGACAGAAAATCAGATGCTATCAAGGAATTAACTTTGTTAGAAGTAAGAGGTACTCTATTCATGTTAAAAAGTAAAATGTCCTTACTTGTTAGAGATACATACTAAAGTAAAATATAAGTAAAATAATATGGTATCTGAAATTTACTTTAAAATACTACAAGGGAAAAAAGTAGGTGGGGGACAAAACAAAAATGATATATATTGATAATTGTTTAAACTGAGCGATGGGTAAATGGGGACTCATTTAACTATATTCTCTATTTTCATTTATTTTGGGGGACAAAAAATGTTTTTATACATACACTATCATTTACACATAAAATTTTAACCTACATAAGCAAATTATATCGCCTAACATTATTAGACTTTTTCACAGCATTTTTACAGGAATTGTTCTAGTACAATTCAATTTTCATTTTGATCCTTATAAAGATACAACTACTTGAGAGAAGCATCTAGACCAGCCGTGGGCAAACTACGGCCCACAGGCCGGATCCGGGCCGTTTGAAATGAATAAAACTATTGAAAAAAGAGACCGTACCCTTTTATGTAATAATGTTTACTTTGAATTTATATTAGTTCACACGTACACTCCATCCATGCTTTTGTTCCGGCCCTCCGGTCCAGTTTAAGAACCCATTGTGGCCCTCGAGTCAAAAAGTTTGCCCACCCTGATCTAGACTCTTCCCATTAATTAAAAATACTACTTACCCTGAGCTTGTAGAAGTTTAAGGGTAGCTTCAGCTCTGGCTCTGGCTTCTCTCTGAGATTTTGTTAAAAGTTTCCCTTCTTTTTTCAAGCGTTCTTTTCTTTCTTTTTCTTTTTGCTTTTTCCTTTCTCTTTTTTCTTGTTCTAATCTTTCCTATAAAAGAATATATATCAGACAAAAATTGTACTAGCTTAATCAATTATAAAATTTAAATGTAAAAAACCCAACCTTCAAACAAAGCTTTTGCGATACATGCAAGTATTATGTTAGGAGATTCCAAATGAAAATATTTTAAATGTTATACATAATTTTTTTGTTAATCCTCACCCAAGAATATTTTTTCCACTGATTTTTAGAGAGAGTGGAAGGGATGGGGACAGCCAGAGAGAGAGAAACATTGATGTGAGAGAGAAACACAGATTGGTGGCCTCCTGCATGTTCCCAACCAAGGCCAGGGAATGAGCCTGCCAGCATGCGTCCTTGACCAGGAATCGAGCCAGTGATCCTTCAGTGTTTGGGCTGACACTCTACCACTGAGCCACACCAGCCAGGGCGCACATAATGATTATTCTTGAGAATAGACTATGTCTTGGCAATGATACATAAGCAACACCTGTCTGTACCTCAGGAAATAAAGGTAGAATTTTCTGTACCTCTTGATCTTATTATTTAAATCCAGACAGACAACAGATTAGAGGTTAGCGATATTTCATAGAGAAGAGATCTTAAGTTAAACACAATGTCAATGTCAGCAACTTTATGAAAACGTACCTCTTCTTTCCGCTTGGCTTCCAATTCCTCAAGCCGTTTGATGCGTTCTTCCTCTTCTCGCTTCTGTCTCTCTTCTTCTTCTTTCAACTTAGCCAGAGCTTCCTGCATAGCTTTAACTGTGGCTTTGCTAGGTCCTTTTTTCTTCTCCTTCTCTTTGTCTTCCTTTTCTACTTTCTTTTTCTTCTTATCTTTTTTCTTTTTGTCTGCTTCATTGTCATCTATAAAAAAAGAATAGATAAACTGTTGTTTTTTTAAAGTTTCCTAAGGCAATGATGAGCAAACCCCAGAATCCTAGGACCATAATGGGCTGAAGCTGATGCCAGCAGCAGGCTAGAGCCTACAGGCATCAAGGCATCCAGAAGAGCACAGGAGAACCTGAGCACCTAGATCAGCTTAGAATCCCCAAGTTAGCTTCCTTAGAAGCCTGCAACACTGGTGTTGCTCTAAGATGTCCTGAGAGATGCCAGAAGACAGCAGGATCTTGTCAGCAGGGACAAGATATAATGTATCTAATGTAGTTCTTAATCCACAGTGTCTGAATTCCTGCCTTAATTCTTAGCTAGTATTGCTTCTATAAAATGGGAATAATATGAATGATGCCAATCTTAAGATATTAGAAGGGTAAAACACAAAAATATAGGTAATTATATTCTAAGAACTCTATAGTATTATGCTTAGAAAGCTAAAGATTATAAAGCTACTTTCATGGTATTTCTCTTCAAATATGTCCAGATAATATTTCAAGTGGTTAAAAAAGTTATGTCAATTTTCCCCTTAAAAGTTTTACTAGTCTAAAGAAAAGCTATGTGAATCATTTGATCTGTTTTTATTCTGATTAAGAATGGGAAATTTAACTATAAAGCTATTTTTTGTAATTAGTTATGGTACTAAAAAGTGGCTATTGCTTAAAAGATGTTAACTAATTTCAGCATGTTTCACTTTTCTATTTCACAGGCTGAATTGGGTTTTTAAAAACAGCTAAAAGCCCTGGCCTGGGTAGCTTGGTTGAGCATTGTCCCATGCACCAAAAGGTGACCAGTTCAATTCCCGGTTTGGGTTGTGGGCTCTATCCTCAGTAAGGGACATGCAGGAGGTAGCCAATCAATGTTTCGCCCTCTCTCAGTTTAATGTTTCCTCTCTCTTTCTCTCTCTTTAAAGTTAATAAAAACTTTGATAAAGAAATATAAAAACTGGAAAGAATTCAGTTATCACCTGACACCAAGTTATCGTCAGAGAAGAATAAATTTTCATTAGGCAACGTCTACTCTTTATCAACGAAAAATTGGTTATCACAGTGAAATTCTATAAAAATCCTAGTCTGTGTACAAACCACTTGAAAGACATTTTGTATTACATATAAATCTTTAACAATAAACATCAATTCAAACAGTACACAGATGTAGTTTTTTAAGATTTTCTTACAATGAAGCATCTTTATAACCAAGGACAAATAAGAAAATGACTTTGGGGCATAATAATCAAACCTTAGATTAAATATGAACTCAAGCCTTTTGCCCTTTCTGCAATAATTTTACCAACCTTCAGCGGCTATGGGCACCTCTCCCTTCTCATCAGAGGCAGGGGCTGTTCCAGTATCAAGAGTCACCTTGGATTTTACACTTTCCTCTTCAGATTTCTTTTGAGGTTCTTTTTGTTTACTCTGATCCTTTTTACCAGTTTCTAACTCTTCTTTTTCTTTCAGCTTCCGCAGTTTTGCCTTTTCTTCATCTCGCTTTTTTCTCTCGCGCTCTTTCTTTTCTGCCTTCTTTTGGGCCACTGTCTTAATTTTGAAGGAGTCATCATCTTCATTCCCACTCTCTACAGTAGGACCTGGCTTATTTTTTTGATTTTTTTTCTGTCCTTTTCTAGACTGCAAAAATTCATCTGAATCATCACCACTTTCCCCTGAAGAATTTACTCTGGAACGCTCTTTAATTCTCTTACTGTTATCCTCATCCTCTTCTGACCCATCCCACTTCTTATTTGATTTTTGAGTTTTCCCTTTAGCTTTTTTAGAAAGTTTTTTTAAATCATCATCATCATCATCATCATCACTCCCAGAGTACATTTCCACTTTTGGTTTTGCTGTCTTTTTTGATTTTGAATCCTTATCTTCCAATTCATCACTATCATTCTCATCAAAATTTTGTTTTTTGCCTTTCTGTCCCTTCTTTTTTTTATCTTGTTTTGAGAAGGATTCCTCTTCATTATTTTCTGTTGGCTAAAAAATTTCCATTGTTAGAAATATTAACAGAGTTATATTTTGTTTTAAAATAAATAATTGAAACTCCTCAGTCACATACTTCATTAAAAACACATCAAAAAATTCTCAAAATATTTTCAAAAGTCTTTTTTTATAATGGTATAAACCTCAAGTAAGTAACAAAAGCTAGCCTAGGCGTCAGGCACATCTCACATTCACAGTGAATGTCAGAATTCAGGTGCTCTAAAGCCAGCACTAAGCACAATCCACATTTACTAGCTTCTTCAAATGGCACACAAAGTTTAAGGGGGGGGGGGGTATTGAAATAAGAAGAAATACCTATCACTTTCCCACTGTTTTAAGGCCTCTCCAAATTCAAATGATGAAAAAGAAACAACATTTAAGAAATTGAAGATGGAGACAGGAAATGTTCTATCTCCAAATATATCAATTTTATAAACAGGCAACATATCCCAAAACACCTTTAGATTCCAAGTAAAGCACCTTTCTATCTGTAAAAGGTTTTAAAAGACATTATTTCTTTCCTAAAACTTGCTTTTCCCCTGTTGGCATCAGAATTTATAGAAAATTTTATCTGTTTGCAAAAGCAGCTCCCTAAAAACAGGCACTAGGAAGCAAGGCTGGCTAACAACCATTCACCTTTGTTGCTGCGGTTTCTCTGTCAGCTTTGATGCCTTGAGCCTCCCAAGACAATTCTTCCAGTTCTTTCAGGATATCATCTTCACTAGAAAAGATGAAAATATATTTAAGGCAAGGAATCAGCTTAATAAGTGAATCTTGTACCAAAGCTAGTAAAAAGGAAATATATTTGAAGTATACTTACTCAAAATCTTGCCGTTTTTTTTCTTTTTTCTTCTTCCCCTTGGACTTTTGAGGCTCCTGCTCCTTAGCAGCACCAGCTCCTTCTATTTCTGCAGCCAAGGCATCAAGATCAATGTCATCCTTGGCACTTAAATGAAAACAAAGAAGATCTAAATGTTACTCAAGAATAAAATAATCTAGCACATTCACCTACAGAGGAACGTTTTAGAAAAATGTTTTTATTGATTTTAGAGAAAGAAGGGAGAGAGAGAGAGATACATCGATGACAGAGAAAGATTCATCAGCTGCCTCCTGCTGGCGTCCACAGAGGGAGGCCCAGGCCACCTAGCTGGCAGCACTGAGGTGGGTGGGCGGGGCCTCCCTCTGCGGGGTGATCGATTTTGGGGCCCCGTGATCGCCCAAGAGAGGGAGGCCCAGGTCACCAGCCAGCGATGCTGTGGCGGTGTGTGAGCAGGCCAGCAATCACCCTGTAGAGGGAGGCCTAGGTCAGCCAAGCTATCGCACCCCATGCCTGTCACCCACAGAGGGAGGCGACCAGTGGCTAGGGCAGGGGGGAAGGGGCAGCACCACACAGATGGCAAGCAGTGGCCGTGGCGGCAAGGCTAGGCCCTGATCGCCAGCCAGGCCTAGGGACCTTACCCAAGGAGTCCCAGATTACGAGAGCACACAGGCCAGGCTGAACCCACACCACCAACCCCCCACCACCCCTGTGCATGAATTTTGAGCACTGGGCCTCTAGTAAATAAGACAAAAAACACATGGTTATCGTAATAAATGAAGAAATAGTGTTTAACCAAAATCCAACACCCTTTCCTGGTAAAAAGAGTCAACCAACTAGGAATAGAAAGCAAACTTTCCTCAACCTAAAAAAGGGTCTCTAGGGAAAGCACAGCTAACATTATACTTAATGGGGAAAACAAAGTTTCCCCTAAGATCAGAAACAAGACAAAAATGTCCACTCTCCTCATTTCTATTCAACATTGTACTGCAAGATTTAGCCAGAACTTCAGGCAAAACAGAGAAAAAGCATTTAGAGTAGAAAAGGAGGAAACCATTTGAACTTGCCTAAGACCTGACCATAAAATCCTAAGGATAAAAAGATTATTACAGCTAATAAGTGAATTCATTAAGATTGCAGGATAGATCACTGTACAAAAATCAACTGTATTTAAACTATGCACTAGCAATGAACTATCTGAAAATGAAATTAAGAAAAGAATTCCATTTACAATAGCATAAAAAAGAAATGCTCAGGAATAGTTTTTGAAAAGAGTTGCAAATCTACTCTGAAAACTACAAAATATTATTGAAAAACACCAAAGACCTAAATAAGTGGAAAGACATCCCATGTTTACAGATCAGAAGGCAAAATACTAGCAATACTCCTAAAATTGATCTATAGCAGCAATTTTCAAACAATGTGCTGCAAGAATTTTTGAAACATGCAGTATCTGACTATTTAGTCAGGGCACTGACCTCTTTTCCCTAAGATTATCAAATGAAAAAATGATAACAGCCAACACAATAGCTGTCCATTGTAAATGAATCAAAATTACATCTTTTTTTGTCAGATCAGCAAAAAACATATTTTTGGAGTGCTATAGAATTTTAGTAATTAGTTTATGTAGGCCATGAGATGAAAAAAAAGTTCAAAATTGCTGATCTACAGGTGAAATGCGATCCTAATCCAAATTCTACCTACTCCCACCTCCCCTTTTTGCAGAAATTTAGAAGCTGATCCTAATATCTCTATGGAAATGCAAGAAACCCAGACTAGCCAACAGTCTCAAAAAGAACAAGGTTAGAGAAATCACACTTCCCAATTTCAAAACTTAATACAAAGCTCTAGTAATCAAGACAGAGAAGTACTGCTTTAAGGATAGACATATAGATCAATGGGACAGAACTGAGAATCTGTAAATAAACACCGACACACATGGTGAACTGATTTCAACAAAGAATTAAAGTCTTTTTAACAAATGGTGTCAGGACAACTGGATATCTACATGCAAAGAATAAAGTTGGACCCCCCATGTTACATGATATACAAAAGTTAACTTAAAATGTCTCAAAGTTTAACATTATAAAACTACTAGAAGAAAACCTAGTAAATCTTCATGACCTTGGATCTAGTGATGGTTTCTTAGATCTGACACCAAAAACATAAACAACCAAAGAAAACATAGATGAATCAGACTTCATCAAAGCTAGAACCTTTTTGCTACAAAGGATATCACCAAGAAAGTGGAACAATAACCTCCAATGGGAGAAAAGAAAGGCAACTCACAGAATGATAGAAAATATTTGCAAATCATACCTGGATAAAGGGTTGGTATGTAGAATATATAAAGAATTCTTATTCCTAAATAATTTTAAAATGGGCAAAGGCTTTGAATAGACAGTTCTCCAAACAAGATATGCAAATATCCAATAAGCACAACATTTAACATTTTAAACTATCATGGAATGACAAACCAAAATCATAGTATGACACCACTTCGCACTCATGGGAATGGCTACTACACAGTAATCAAAAAGTCAGTTGATAAGTGTTAATGAGGATGTAGAGAAATTATAACTCTAATACATTGTTGGTTGAAATGTAACATGGTGTTTCTTAGATCTTTATTCCTTTTCCTTCCTCCCACACTTTCAAAATAGTTACAGCATGGTTTTGGTTCTACATTAAGTGTTTCATTATGTAAATGTTGTAGTTACTGCTGGGGCAAATAGTACACTGTGATTATTTCAATACTGTTTAATACGGGTTTCAAAATACCTTTTGCACTAAATGTTCTCGACAATACATATTTGTTACAAGGCATAAAATAGAAAGAAAGGAAGGTAAAAAAGCAGTCATTTGTGTGTCACTAATTAAAACATTTGAATGCTGCTATATCTTTTTCTCCATGCTCTCCCCCTTCACTATTCACATATTAGGACAAACGAATAATCTAATCACAACATAGTCCTCATCCTTTATACAGCTACTCCTAATAAGAGTACAGTAAATTGGTGACACAGGAGACAATCAACCATCCTGGAAAAGTTTTCCTATTTACCAGAAAAAAAGAAAGAAAAAGTATTACATTAACAGCAATGAAAACTGTAAGATACCTAGAAATAAGCAAAGAAAGAAATATTCTAAAGACTCAAGTGAAGAAAATTATAAAATATATATAAAGCCCTAATATGCAAATAGACCAAATGGTGGAACACCGAACTGGTCACTATGACGTGTGATGACTACCAGGGGGCGTGTGCAGAACATGGTGGACGTCAGGCACAGTAGGATGGTAGAGCAGGTGAGCGGGGGCGCCAGACCAAGGTGGGGCGCCAGTCGCTTTCATTGGGGGGAGCCTCTGGTGGTTACTGAAAATTCTTTGCTCCCATGCACCACGGTCCCGCCTGGCACTCACACCCACTGCCAGCACCTGGTGCCAGCCCCGATCGCCCCTCAGGGCTTCTCCACCTCCCCCTGCTTCTGAGGGGCGATTGGGGCAGCAGTCGCCACTCTCATCCAGTGATGGCGCTGAACAATCAGGGCCAGCGCCAGCAGACAGGAAACCAAGAGCTGTCATGGGAGGAGCCGGGCCAGGGCATGGAGGATCAGCTGAGACCCGCTCCTGTGCCCACTGCAGCCTCATGGCCCACAGTTCCTTTCAAGGTGCACGAATTTGTGCACTGGGCCCCTGGTAATAAAATATTACTTCAACCACGTCCAGCATGGCCAGTGGTGAACATGAGGAGGGGCAGTGAAGGATTAAAGAAAACAGACAAGAGAATACAGTTGGGGCCAGGTGGGTCACTGTGTCTGGATGAGGAAACAGTGACACAACCTGTAAGCCCAAGCTTTATTTTATAGTCAGATCACACAAAGCAAAACAAGGGCAAGATGTTTACCATGTTCTGGCAAGTTTCAAATCTGCTTCTTTCCTGTTGTTGCCATTCTCTGAACTCTATCATTTGATTAAGCAGCACTTGCTGCACCTCCTGCAGCCTACATCCCTTAGCTATCTAGGACTGCAGGGTCAGACTATAAGGTCAAGCTTACAACCATAGCCTTTTGGCTATAATTGTGCTGGGAGGGCTTTGCCCTCCAAGTTGGGACTTGTATGTGGCTTTGCCACAAGTCAGTCTGAGGCTTGATCCTGTCCGAACGCTGTAGCTGCTCTCCACAATTACTGACATACAATTACATTAACCAAATACAGAAGCATGTCATATTACTATTTGTTGATCACTGTATATGGCACTTTAATAGACACTCAATACATTTCTTGAATGGGATGATTCAATAACATAAAGGTGTCAAATGTACCAAATAATCAACTCCCAATTAAAATCAACCATCACAGCCCTAACCGGTTTGGCTCAGTGGATAGAGTGTCAGCCTGCGGACTGAAGGGTCCCAGGTTCGATTCCAGCCAAGGGCATGTACCCTGGTTGCGGGCCTATCCCCAGTAGGGGGTGTGCAGGAGGCAGCTGATCGATGTTTCTCTTTCACTGATGTTTCTAGCTCTCTATCTCTCTCCCTTCCTCTCTGTAAAAAATCAATAAAATATATTTTTTTAAAAATCAACCATCACAGATTTTAATAGACCTCAATAAATTCACCTATTATATTAAAATACGTATGTATATACACTGAGTGGCCAAATTATTATGACCACCTGACATTTGTAGGCAACTTAGCTATAATTTCACGCTGAAGTTGCCAGAGGTCCAGATCATTATAA